GGACAGAGAATCCACCACCCCTCTGGGCAGCCCGTTTCACTGCCCTCACAGGGAAAATCTTTTCCTAATTTTCTGATTTCTAAAAATTTCTAATTGGAACCTTGCTTTACACATTTGAGCTCGGTCAGGAGATCCCCACTCAGCTGTGTTGGCCTTCTGCCACATCTGCTCAACCTTCTGCACGTGAAATGAGTGTTCCTGTGCTTGGAAGAGGTTGTGCTCCAACACATAGTAGATCAGCAGGGTGCAGTAGAAGATATTTTCAATTTTAATTTACAAAGCTGTGTAGAGATGCCTGAATATGGGGGTGAAGGGAACGTGCTGGTGGGAAAAAAAAAGCTGCTGGGCTTTATCAGCAGGAAGTTTGCATTTTACTAGCCAGACTGGTTTTGTGGAAGGTGCCTTTTCTGTTCACGTTCCCACAAAGACTCTATAGCAACTCTGGCCTGGCTTACTGTTAAAATACCTTTCTTGGGTTTTTTTTAACCTCTTTTCAAGCCTCTGTATACAGTTATAAAGAGCAGAGTTTGCGTATGGGGCAACTGAAGACCGAGAGATGGAGACCTACTATCCTGCTCCCTCTCTTGGCTGACCCAGTGTTTCCACAAATATTTTTTCTTGTTTTTGCCTAGGACAATTTACTTTGCTGTATTAAATGTGATGCTTTTAGTTGGAAGTCTGTGACAGCCAGTGAATGGCACAGTTTCACTATAGCTAAATGTTGCCAATGTGGGCTTTCACTGCAAGCAAGCTGGTGTTCTTTTTTAAACTTGCTGTAGTATGTTCATGTGAAATGATTTGTTGTGCCAAATTATGAAGGTGACACTTAGCACAGTCCTGGGCACAATGAGATCTGAAAGGCAAGCTAGTAAAGCACACTTTTTGAGGAATCCATGGAATATTTTCTGTGCTTTTTACCACTTGGATTCCTTCTGCAAAATGTTGTTTTCAGTCTTGAGTGAGAAGGAAGGAAAGTAAATCAGGAGCCCCATCAAAGAGAAGAAAGAAAGAAGTCAGAATGACAAAGCAAACAAGGACAGATCCTGGGGGAAGACAGGTATACTCATTAACTGTATTTACATTTCAAAGATGAGTTAACTGCAGTGTTCTCAATCATACCCTACACTTGTGTTCCCTGCCACGCACCATGAATAATAAATGCACTTTGGAGGATAGAGTAAGTGACCCAATAGGCTTCTTCCACTTTTCATTTCATGGGGGATCTTAATTTGAGAGGTCAGTACAAATGCCTATGGTAAGTGACAATTTTAGGCCAGTAATTACTAATTAAGACAGAAGGCAAGATGCTGGCTAAGGCATTTTCAAACAGATCACAGATAACCTTGCAGGAGCTGATTAACTCAAACAGAACACCTCCTTAGGTGATAGCTACCAAATGATACTTGGAACAATTTTTAAAATTAAAAGGGATGAGGGAAAAGGATTTATGGAACTCTTGGCTGAATTTTCTCTGGAGAAAGAATTTTGATAATAAGTGGGACTAGCTGTTTGCCAATTAGCAGACAATTAGAAGAAATACATTTACCCAGTGGGCAAAAATCTTTTATGATAGACTCACACTCACCAAACCTGTTTACGCCAAAGGAGGATAGACACTGACATGCTCGCAGTGTCTTAGCTCTAGTGATGTGAGCAGCACTGGCTGCAGCTACCGTGCCAACTTCACGTTGGCTGTGTGGGACTCGATGTGACAGTGCTTAACATGGCAAGAACTGAACAGAGGACCCCAGGCTGTGCTCGTGGATCCCGGGATGGCTGTGGACAACTTCCAAGGGGTCCATGAAAGAAATTAGGGACAGCAAACCAACTGTCTGTGGAGAAAATTGAGAAATCTCTGACACTGGGGAATTTTTAGGGACCTGCAAATCAGAAAAAGTAAGAAGACATTGGCTTTATTAATATTAGTAACTGTAAAGGTGATCATCATTAGTAGATCAGACATAGTGTCAGACATTGGAAGCTTTTCTGAAAGTCTCCCTTGGACAGGTGAGGCCTTGAATGACCATAAATTCGGAGTGGCAGATGCTGTAAAGAAGAGCTGAGCTAGGCTGCTGCTTTTTGTCTTTTCTTTTTTTCCAGCTTAACAATGAATTTTTGCGCATGGTTCCTACAAAACAGGGATATGTAGGCAGCACTGCTTGGCCAAAAGGCGGGGTGGGGGAAGAGTCTGTCTGATTTTGCTTTTGTTCGTGCTCCTCTTTTCCATCCTCAGAACTTAAACGATTCCTACGCACTTCCACAAGCCACGGAAAGAGATGAGCAGGTGCAGAACATGAGCCCTCAAATCCAAACAGTTGCTCAAGGTGCATTTCATTATTTATCCTCTAAAGGGGCTATTTCTTGCCATTGACTCCACTGGCAATATGGAGCACAAAGCTAGACTTACAGATCTGCATTCTAGATGCCTAAAGGAGGCCAGAAAAATTGTATCTTTCTATTTGAAAATCCAGCTCAGAAAAGCAGAGACCACAAGAGGAAAACAAATTAGGACCAAGCACGGCTCAGGAGTGCAGAGCATTTTCCTGCTATATCACTTGGCGCAAGGTAGCACCTACTCTGATGACTACAAATGCAGACTGTGATATAGAAATGAAGGAATGAACTCAGTCCTGGTTTTGCTCCTGGCATCCAGATCAAAATGGGAATTTCAAATAGAACTTACGGTTTTATAACATTTGTGACATGCATAAATATGAGGGAGTATTAATACATGATGCTTCCAACCAAATCCATGTTTTTACTTTCTTTCCCTGCATAGTCAGGGCCTCGACCTGTGGCAGCTTCATTTCAGCTGAATTTGCTCTGATCCCAGGAAGCACCCGGCACCCTCCAGGGAAACCATCATGAGTGGAAACCATTGTGCGTGGAAGCAGGTCTAACCCATGCCTTAGGCAGCACTTCCCTACGCAAGAAGCGGGCCTTTGCAGTTTGTTTCATTCCAAACAAGGACATTAACTCCTTGTTGAAGGGGAGGGTTGCTTTTAGAGCTGCTGACAGTTGTCCAGAGATTAAAATTCCTTCCAGTAAGGCTAGTACTGTCCCTGTGACATGGATCTTGTTTGGGAACACCTGACCCAGAGCAGGCAGACCAGGGGTGTCAGCTTTAGGAGAAATCTAGTGGTGACTCATTGCACCCTAGGGAAGAACTGGAGGTGATGAGCACCTTTTCCTTCAGGGAATGCTGGAGCAGGCTAAACCCTTCCGAGAGGACCAGTCAGGTTCAGTGAAAATACCTGTGTTGTTTCCAGGAAAACTAAACATCAGGTGTGCTTGAGGGCAAGGACTGGCAGCTACCATCAAAGGCATTTTTCTGGTGCATTGTGTGGGTTAACAAGCTGTTGAACCATAGGAGCAGACATGGTGGAGAGGCTCAGAGCTCCAGCTGAAGCCTTTAGTGCAGCCTGAAGCTGCACTGAAAAATAGGGAGATGCTGTCAAGTCCTTCTGGCAATGGAAAGAAGTACAAAATGAAGGGAACGGTGTCATCAGAGCCGACCGGCAGCAACATTTTGTGACTGAAAATTATTTTCTTCACTTGCACAATGATACTAACATTTAGGGGAAAAAAGGAGCACTGCAGAGGCAGTCATTACAGATGGAGGAGACTGATTAGCCCCTCTAGCTTTTCCACCTGAGAATACAAGATGTACTATGATACCACCGATGTGAACTCCATGGGAGGAAGTAAAGGAAATGTGATTACAGATATTATATCCAAATTGAATTAAAGCTGCATTAAAAAACTCAGATTACTGCACGGTTCCATGCTACGTTTGAAAACACAATACGCATCTGCTACTGACAGACACGTAAAGAACATGCAGGGACTTCTTTCTCAGAAAACTAGTTTGATCTCTGACTTGCTGATTCACAAATCCACAGAAACAAAGGCAGGAAGTAAAACTACAGCCAGACCTCCCTAGCACATAAATAATCATCAGCAAAGCAGCCGTGTTGCTTGGGATTTTTGTTTGGTTTTCTTCCAAATATTTACTCTACACTGCAACCTTAAGCAAAGTTAATTACCTCAGTTTCTTTATCTATAAAAATCAGATAATGAATCTGGTCTTCTTTGCAAAAGGCGAATCTGTAGATAAAAGCATTAGTATTGCATGCTGATGTTAATAAATATTTTCTCAGTTGACTAGCGGTCACTGGAACACTTTTCTGTGCTATGCTCATTCACTGTGCAGATTTAAATGAGATATTAAATCCTTCTGACTCCTCCTAGTTTTGCTGACAGGGAGAAAGAGCAATCCAGGCTTAAGCATACATTTCAAGCTCATTTTTAAAACTATTTTTGGGGGGTCACGTAGTGGCATATACGGAGGCAAATATCTTTCTGCCTTCTTGGCTGTGACTGCTACAAGGCAATGAAAAAGCTCTCTAGACTATGACAATGCCATGAGTTACTGCCTCTGCCATGAGGGCTCTATACACCTAGTAATTCTCATATAAGACTGTCTCTCTTGTATGACTAGAAGTATCATGTAGCTGACAAAGTGAACTGTAGTAAAATAGTGCATCTTTCAGTTACTTCCCATGTTATGTTACACCAAGTGGCAGAGTACAGTAAATTTTAAAATAAAAAGTTGACATGAACGACTATATAGAAATAAATTAATAACAAAGGCTTTTAATGCACGTGTAAAAAATAATCCAGCAATCATCTTCCAACTGTATTTTACCTATTTTCAAGCAACAAAACAGCTGGCAGCTGTTTATTAAAATGGATCAGTGTGCTAAAATGTGCTCAGTCTGAAATAATAACTCTAGAAAAAAACCTTCAAGAGAGATGTATTTTAAGAACAAAATCAAAGGAAACAAAGTCACAGAACCTGAGAGTTTCAAAGCACTCTCCTCCTCATATGTCCCTCTCTCCCCCAAAACAAACCCAAGGCTATAAAAAGCTTCAGGAAAGATTTTCAAAGGCGCTGAGCTTTCAAAAGGAAGAAAGCCCTGAAGTATTCTCTGCGCATTTCAATAAGGAAATTTCCCCTGTATCTTCCACACTTCAGTCTTCTCTGCTAGCACACACCAATTGGCACGGTCAAAGTATGAGTGAGTAATATGTAGCTCAGGAATGTGACGCTCTATCAGCTCTGCCAACTCCCCTTCTTTAAAAACGCAGTAGTACCTCAACCATGCCCCACCAGGACCCGTCTGCTGTCTTCTCTGCGTGGTCAGGGCACGCTCATTGACTGCCTTCTGCAAAGAAGAGCCTGTTCTCCTTTTGTTCTGAGGTTGGCAGAAAACTCCTTGTTTTGGGTGGTGGTCTATTTTAAGTCGTTGTCTGACAGCTAATTCTTTCTGATGTGAAATCAGGTCAGGTAAACACACTCCGCTGCAATCGTGAAGAGTATCTGCAGCCACAGGGAGCTATATAGGTGCTTGCCCTAATTCTGAACAGCAACTTCTGAAAGCCTTCGAGCAGCATGACATGGGCAGCATAGGTTTAACAGCCTCTTCAAAAGCTGTTGTATTTTCAAAACTCAGTTTGCAATGTAGAAAGAAGTCAGAAGCACGTTTCAGAAAGCCACGCTCTCTGGTTTTTTCAACTTTTTTTTCCCTGTTTGATTCATTCAGCTGAACACCGTAATTGCAGTATCTAATGAGCTCTTCTTGGTGCCACTGATCACCCACATCTAAAACTGAGTCAAGTGATCTTGAGAACAGAGACCATCTCAGAGATTTCTCTAACACCATGCATGGTGCTTTTTTCTCCCCTCCACAGGATGAGCTCCTTGCTGTCCTGTGTACCTCTGAAGTCCAATCCAACTTATGACAGGGCTGGTTCAAAGCCAGCTCTTTGTCCTTGTGAAGAATTGATTTTTGTACTCCACGTGAGCAAGGCTCACCGGAGGAGCAGGAAGGAGGTGAAGGATTCTAAGGAACAAAGATGTCTTGCTTTTCAAATCTTCTCCGTTTTTGCTCCATTGCCCACACATATATCATTATCTGGCCTCCTACTCTCAAGATGCGAGCCATCTCTTTTATTGCTCGCATGCACCTCTCTTCCATTGAAAAATGGTGAATCACTAGAACAGAACAGATAAGGTGAATAAGTATCCCTGGAGGCACTAATGAATACAGAGTATAAGGACAGGGACTGGCTCTGACACACTGGCAGCCGGTGGTTTGCACCACAGGAATACATCATTTATCTTCCATTGTGCTACATGTTATTGTACTATCTCTAACATCTCTAACATTGTACTACCTCTAAAGAGTTCATTAAAGACTTATTTTAAAAACACAGCAGAATTTAGAAACGTTGAAACAAGTGACATCTTTCAGATCGGCCACAAACAACACAACAGTCTTATTTTCTCAGTGAAAGGCTGAGACCGCAAGGTCAGTGGCAAAGCAATCTGGCCCTTTTTTACCCTCACCTAATGCTCATCTGCAGCCTGAAAGAAGCCCTTCTGAATGACCAAGGTCATACATGGTCCTTGCAACAGCCATGCTAGTGATCCTGCTGACGATACCCATTAAAAATGGACTAGGTTAAAACTGCCTGCCCATTTCTCCTCCTTTAATGACAGACATCAGTAACAGAGCAGAAAAAATGAACAGTCACTATCAGCCTGGGATACATTTAAATCATCAACATATGGGTGAAAGACACTTAGTCAACTAGCATTTGTCTACTTCTGCCATTAACAAGCACGTATCATGAAAACAAATAATCAGATCTTGCTTGATAACCCCCCACACCACAAAAACATGCGTGACGTGGAGAACGCCTCATCATTATGATGGTGAAACTCAAGCAGCACAGCTTTGCTTGAGTCAGAACTGAGTTTAAATTTGACTCCCATTTCAACAAAAATTTTTGCCCCAAAAGGGGCAATCGGTCTCAGGCTTTGGCAGAAATTTGCCGAACGGCAGCTCTGCAGGTTGGCTCCTGCTCTCAGACTGCACAGCTCTAGAGCAATTCACAACAGACGTCGAGGTTGATCAGGTCTTGGTGCACAGCAGGGACTTCAGCAAAGTTTCGGCTACGTCAAATGAACGTTACGTGAGAAATAAGAATAGGAAACAATCCTGGAATAGTGCTGGAAAGGAAAGGGCACATATTAAAGACGCTGAAACCAAAAAGCAATAGAATTAGTGATATTTATCCAATCTTATATTTTCCTCAGTGAAAATGCCTGTGCCAGTTTGGGCAGATATTTCTACAGTTACCACTTCAGGTTACAATAATAAACCAGTTTTAGGTTAAGCTGTTGAGGTGTTGGTTTCCACGGAAAAATAATAGATCTTTCAAGGAAAAGAAAAGGTGCAAGCTTTCTATTCTTTCTAGAAACATAAGTATAGAAAATGCTAGCAGAAGCTCTGTATCTGCAGCCTCTCTGTGTCTGTCAGGGCAGCCATTCACCATCAGCTCCATTTTGCCTCAGAAAAAGAGACACTTTACAATTAAAAGAATAACAGCATGCAATCCAGATGAGATAGGAAAACACTCTTCCTGCAATGAATGATGCATTCAGAGCCTCGGTGGCAATGTGAGGATCAAAAGGCAAGCTTTGAAGAAATAGGGTCTTTTAACATTTAGTTATTCAGCTCACTTGTTTGAGATGAACAGAAATCAATTCTGAAAGCTCACATCTTCTAGCACTAGTCGAGATGTTGACACTGAAACATTATGGCCTTTTTAATTAAAAAGGCATAAAGTATCATTTAAGAAATTACAGCGTATTAATAAAATCTCACACTGAGCAAAACTTTAGTGTTGTCAAGATAAATCTGTCAGATATTTTTAAAAGCTATGGGTGAGGTATTCAATTTAAAAATGCATAACTCAAGGAAACAGAGCATCTGCACAGGGCAACATCACACTATCCTGAAATCACAGATTATCACGTGAATTATTGCACATGATTGATTTTAATCAAAGCCAAACCTGTCAGGCTCCAAGATCACCACGTAGCCACATTCACCTAAAGCAGGTGGCTTATAAAAAAATAACTTCTTTCTTTCCCTTGACATTAAATTCCTTGTATGTTGAAACTGTGTTTAAACTGAACAATCTGTAGTGTGCAGTAAAGGTGCCCTTTCAGAGATGGAGTGGCTCATGTTAGCTGGCAGCAAGGCACAAACAGTCACCAAGGGCCTGATTGCAGCCCAGCAGCGACATGAGCCTGCTTCCCTCCCCTCCAGTGGAAACGGTTCAGATCTGCTTCTCCTGCAACTCCGCTCATACTGACGAGTAGATGGCACTGGGGCCGATATAGTGTGCAGTAAAGGTGCCCTTTCAGAGATGGAGTGGCTCATGTTAGCAAGGCACAAGGCACAAACAGTCACCAAGGGCCTGATTGCAGCCCAGCAGCGACATGAGCCCTCCCCTCTCCCCTCCAGTGGAAACGGTTCAGATCTGCTTCTCCTGCAACTCCGCTCATACTGACGAGTAGATGGCACTGGGGCCGATATTTCATAGAATCATAGGATGGTTTGGGTTGGAGGCGACCTTCAAAGATCACCTAGTCCAACCTCCCTGCCATGGGCAGGGACATCTTCCACTAGATTGGGTTGTCAAAGCCCCATCCAACCTGATCTTGAACTATTCCAGTGATGGGGCATCCACAACTTCTCTGGGCAACCTGTTCCAGTGTTTCACCACTCTCATCGTAAAAAATTTCTTCCTAATATCTAATCTAAATCTACCCTCTTTCAGTTTAAAGCCATTGCCCCTGTCCTGTCATTACAGGCCCTGGTAAAAAGACTCTCTCCATCTTTCTTACAAGCCCCCTTTAAGCATTGAAAGACCGCAATAAGGTCTCCCTGGAGTCCTTTAGTGCTACACCCCTGGAACAATATTTCACCAGCTGTTCAACATATTTTAAGGTGATTTCCCACCATCCAAACACTATAAAACAAGGGTCCAGATGCTTGAAAGTGCATTTGTCATAATGACTGGTACTTTAAATGAAAATTAGTTTTGTCCTAAATTACAATAAATACAGAAGCTTGCAGGTGGTGAAAACAATATTAGGTCAGAGGAAACTCATCCTGAGTCGGAGCAAACATCCCTCCAGCACGGGGCTGTGGCAGCAGTCAGCACCAGATGTTCGGGAAAGAAAGAAGGGAAGAACAGTGATGCTCTCTCTCATCACCTCCTGTGGTCGGCAGCCTGAAAGCTTCCTCAGCCACAGGCGGGAGCTTGTATCCGATAGCCAGTGATGGATTTGTCCTCCATGGATACTTTCTTGTACTCACTTGTACTTCTGACTACACAAACTCACATGTCAAAGGAATCTGCAATTTAATTATATATTTTTTAGAGAAATGGTCCCTTCTGTTTTAAATCTTTCCCTGTGGTTCTCCTGTTGGAAGAAACCACAGAAATTTACTGCCTGTTCACTAATGTAATATCATTTGTGGCTTCCAGGATGCTATCTCCCTCTCCCTCAGGAGCAATATGATGAATACACTTCTTTTATGATACTTTTATGATGATACTCTTTTTTCTTAGGTGAAGAGCCCTAGCCCATTAATCTATCCTCATACATAAACAGTTTGCACCTTTGATCATTATAAGGACCTTTACTAGTTCATCTATATCCTTCCAGAGATGAAGAAAACCTGAATTTCATGTAGTATTCAAGATATGGATTCATCAGGTATTTATCTTCTACCATTTTTCTGGATTTTCATTTTTGTTCTTAATATTTGAATACTTTTTTGACCAGGTTTGAACACTGAGCTAATATTTTTCAGGGCAATGAAAATGAGTCTGATAATGACTTCAATATCTCTTTCCTGAACAAGAATAGAGGGTACCACTGTGCCTGTACACTTATTTTTTTCTATGCACTTTACCTAGCATTTATCCACAAATACATTTCTGCAATTTTGCACCCAGTCATTAGTTTCACATGAGACTTTTTTTTGCAACTCTTTGCAGTCAGTAATCCTGAATAAGTCTATGTCACCAGCAAACTTTATCGCTAGCCTATTCATTTCATTTCATTTGTAATTATAAATTACATAGGAATCTGTTGAACAGGCCTTTTTATAGGTGCCATACACCTACACCCACACTAAGCATTCAACATTGAGTCTTTCAGCACTTTCCACGCTCGTCTGCTAGCATTTTACCCTTCTGGCTTTCCCTTTCAATTTTCCTTAAGAGTTTCTTCCTTTTTGGTAGTAAACTTTTATGCAGTGGTTTTTTTAAAGCATTTTTGTTCCTAGCAGGAGGTTCAATTACAGTCACATTAAATTCAATGAGAGAATGTCGTTCTTGCACAATTACTTATTGATGTGGGCCTGATGCACCGTTTCAGACTAAAAAGAGTTGTTTCCCTTTTGTGGGTTCTCAGATTAATCTTTCCAAGAGGCTTCATGCCCCTGTGTATCATTTACACAACCTACATATGGATAATTGCAGTTTCTCAATATTGTGTTTTCTGCCCTCACAGCCCTCGCAATCTCTCTTAGTAATCTGTGGTCATTTTCTCCAAGTTTATCAGAGAGTTAGCGATACATCCTTATTATTACACTGCTCTCCTCTGTAGCTGTCTACCTACTATCGTTTCTTCCAGAAGTTTATCCTCATGCTTTTTTCCACAGAAGGATATTCAGAGCTTTTTAGCTGTTATGCAACCCTTGTAACAAAAGCTAGAAAAAACCCTTAAGTTCACTACAAAAAGGGCTTTAATGAACATTGTATCATTATCATACTAACCAACACCATGCCATGGTGATGGGGACAAATAGGACCACATTCAATTATTTAAACATCCAAACAAACCATTGCAAAAAAGAAGTCTAAGCACAAAAATATTTGTTTGGGGTGAGCACAGGTGCTTGTCCAAAACCCCTGACAGCTCTTTGTAGCAGCAAGGCCTTGCTTCATAGATTAGCAGTTGTTATAAATCAAGCATTCCTTTTCATTTTGGCCATACGTTCCCCTAGCGTACCTAGAAGTCAATCCAAATTAATTTTGTGCCATGTACTGCTCATTCCCACCACTTCTGTTTAAACTGAAGACTGAAAGATTTTCCATAACTGAAAAATACATAATGCAATCTTA